CTTTTACACCTTTTTAACATTTTTTACAGTCCTTTTCAACCTGTCGTACGCATACCACCTGCTAGGTACCGACGTACCACCAGTGGTACGCATACCACCGGTTGAAAAGCCCTGCTATATAGGGGCCGTGGAAGCGCAGTGGTTAGAATGCATCATTGCAGGCTAACTGTGCCCACAGCCAGAAGTTCGATCCTGTCTGGTTCAAGTTTAACTCAGCCTTCCATCCTTGCGAGGTTGATAAAACGAGAGCCCAGATTGTTGGGGGCAACATGCTGGTTCAAATATGCTTCTGTGACAAAGAGGCTCACAAAGACAGCAATCTGTTTTGGGTACAATCTATCCAGTCAAGGTAACACAATCCTAGAAATGAAAGACTGAATGGTGACTGTATCTCAAAGGAATGCTTACTAATCCAACAACAGAGCAATCAAAACACATCCGCCCAACAGAGCACGTTCATGGAGTACATACTACACCAATATAAGAGTATATCTATGTTGTAGTCCTCATTCTTCTGTCAAACATGTTCAAATGGTAATAATGCTTGTAATATTGCTTACAGCCGTAACAACGGCTATGATTAGTAGTGAACATATGCAAGAGAATGATTCCATTTTCAGATAAAATGGAAAGGGAAGATTTGGCTGGGAAGATTTCAACTTTTTACTGGTAACTTCCAGCATTTTAATTGAAGGAAGAACATAAAAAGTACAGTTATATTCAAAATATGCAAATTAACAGAAAGGATTAATAAAGAATAAAATGTTATATTGGATAAAAAACTACCTTTAGCAGGATGTTTAACTGGATATTATGATTTAGCTCAGAGGTCCCCAACTTTCTGAGCACCAGGACTGGTTCTGTAGAAAGAGTTTTTTCTGCACACCGGAAGGGACGTGGTTTCATATAATTGTCTGCATCCCGCAAATGGGACTTTGCTTGTTTGCGCGGACCAGTTTCTGGCGTGCTAAGGCCTGGTGCCGTTCCATGGACCAGGGGTTGGGGATCCCTGATCTAGCTAGCATATTTCTAATAAAACTCATAGAACAAAATGCTTAATGTCCAAGGAGAAATAGAAATCAGACCTAAAGAAAGAAAATGTCAAAATTAGCTCAAATTGCAAGTAGAATATATTAGGGATGAGAATCTTCAACACAGAAATGTGGGATCTATGTACTTTAGCCATTAGGTCTCTCAACCACAGGAGCAGAGGAAAAACAACACTTCTGTAGGTTTCTAAATCTAAGGCAAAATATCTAAGAGGAACAGATCAAATGAATATAAGTAAAACCAAAGCAATAAAATGTTGCAGCCAATAACAGGAGAACAGAAATCCCTGAGAAACAGAGATACCTGACAGAAATGGGCAGACAATAAACTGAAAACAGGAGCCAAATACAAAAACAGGGTCACAGAATTGCATAACAGAATCACCAGATAATTGGCTAAGAATAGATAAGTAAATGAATATAGGGCACTCATCAAGTAAACTATAAAGGCTTATCTTAAAGTTTTCGAACAAGACTATATTTTTTCAGTTGATATCTATTTGTGGTGTTTTCAAAATGCCATTCTCCTTAAACTTTCCAAATGAACTGAGTTAATATGCTTAGTTGAAAATTATACTCATATTAACAGAAGCACATCAAATGAAAGTTGATAGAAAATCAACTTTTGTAAGGCTTTGTTTCTGTTTGGATTACATAGGAATAACTGCCATTGAATTTAATGGAATTTAATTCTCAATAGATTATATTAAAAATGGGGCAAAGGTTACTCTTTTTTCCAGTAAAGTTGGAAGACAATAACTTCCTTGGGTAAAAATTAAGAGACAGTGTTATCCAGTATTTAAGTTCCAGTGACCTGAATCTTTTACAATCTATTTACCTTCTACTTTAAATATGACATGGGTTTTACTCTACAAAATAGAAGAGCATGGAAGATTCCAGTCTTATTCCCCATGCCCCTTGTCTATTAAGCTTAAGTGCAGTATACACTGTATTTTGAAACAAAAAAACCTAGTGGCAATTCAAAACATACCCATCAAAAGTAACTAGAGCTACTTTGGTCTAGTCTAGTGGTTAATGCCCCAGACTAGAAACCAGGAGGTAGTGAATTCTATACCCATCTTAGGCATAAAAAGATGGTTGGGTGACTTTGACCTAGTCATTCTCTCTCAGCCCAACTCACCTCACAAGGTGGTTGTGGTGGGAAAATAGGAGGAAGAAGTAGTAGGGATGTTTGTCACCTCGAGTTATTTATAAGAAATAATAATGGCTGGATAAAAATAATCTAATAATAATAAAAAATGAAGCAATTGAGGAATGATTGGGGAATTCAAATTTTGCAATCTAAAGATGTGTTCCAATAATCATCTACTTCCCTGTAAGGTATGGGTTTTTGAATGTAGTAAGTCTTTAAAATAAGGAAGTGTTCCTACTTTTTTAACCAGTGACTAGCGACGAGATAATGAATTTTCTGGAAACAAAACTTGGAACTGAACTCATATTTATTCTTGTATTCTTACAGTATTTTAAGTGGTTGGACATGTATTTCTTACTCAAAATTACTGCATGTATTGCCACTGTCCAGCTTTCCCCCTCAAGTCCTCTGTGTGCTTTCTGATTAATGTTCCATTGTGGTATGTTGGGTTATAGCTTAGTGGGATGTGTAAGCCTAGCCGTTTTTTAAAAAATTGATTTATTGTGGTAATTTAATTTATTGTGATAATTTATTATGGTAATTTGCATTGTGATAATTTAACTATTATACATTTATCTAGCCACTGTAGTTTAATCAAATTATAGAGAAAACAAATGGTAATTTACAACAGTCTGTAAATCCATCAATATATAGAGCCTTAGTTACATGTATATAAGCATCTATAAGAATGTGCTAAAAATGCATTTGCAATATCGATATGCTGGACTTCAGCAAGTATCATTTACAACCAGCATAGGCAATCCATTGATATCCTAAAAAGTATTACATAGCAACTTTATTTATGGTTAACTTAAACATGCTTTACTAAATCAAACTAAGGAGTTTTTTTCTGGATTTTCATATACGAACAGTTTGGTTAGGATTTTCACAAAATGCTAAGCTAAAATCTCATTACCTGGTTAGTTGAACATTTCATTATGTTAGTTGAAGACACAATGCTCTTTTAAACAGCTGTTTTAAACTTTGTGGATGTTTGCCCTGCTGGAGAAGCTGTAAGAGCTAATTAGTCTGAATTTACTGAGGCAATATAGATAATGGGAATACCGCAATTTTCCTCATTAACACAATTAGAGTAACAAGTAGAACTCCATTTCTTATATTAGATTGCAACATAATATTTGAGTGCTGGTGCCATAATTGAAATTGAAGCCTGGAAGTAATTGCTAACATTTGCATTTTTATGATACAGGCCCTATTTGATCCCTATTCAAATACTGATAACCAAATATATGCAAAGAGAGTCAGTTGGTAGACTGGAACTCCTGATTTATTTCAGATCAGTAAGAGGAATTCTGTGGAGAAAGCCATTCTTATAGATCTAGATTGGCAGGGTCATAGATTTGAATTTCACTAATTATATCCAACTATGAGCATTTCTGGGAATGGGAGAGCTTCCGTAATTCCATGCTATGGGGAAGCAGGAATTCCTTCTCAATTTTACACAAAAGACAATTCTAGCCAGGCCGCTTCACAAATCTGAGATCAAATCCATCCTTAGGATATGTCCTGGGAGAAATGTAGCAATCTTTTCTGCTCCTTTTCTCCTTAACAAGTGTATGTCAATAGATCCATATACTTGGAGGTATTTGGAGGCATGGAATATATATAGATACATCATAGAATCTAGTGCATCAAAGGAATCTGAAAATTTAATCTTATTATAAAGAATTGGTGAAAAGAATTTAGCTTGTGATTGTTATAACATATATAAAATGCAAGTTAGTTATGATGAAGATAATAAAGCTGGATTGTGGACATTGCAATTCATGAATATAGCAGAATGGGAGAGAAATAATTGTCATAAAACACACGGACCTGCAAATAGAAGTAGAATGGCTAAGGCAAAAGAAAGCAAAGATAGGTCCTTGTGTGTAATCTCAAAATTTCCGGAATACTATTTGAATACGATCAGCAGTGACAAAATCACTATCAGTCAATTGCAAAAGGCAGCTTTACTTGTTCCTGGGACTATATGTTTAACAGCATTGAACATTCACCTCAGCCCATCCCAGGTGTTTGGGAAGGACTTGATTAAAATGCAAATCTAATCTACACATCTGGCTGACCGTGCAACCAACCATAATAATAATACACTGTTATGATTCTTTTTTATTCTTCCCATAAGCATGCAACATTTATTAACATATCTGAATAATCTATTGGAAATCACACACAGCAGACAAGACTGTCACAGTATCTTGAATTGTTTAGAAGTGGCATTTTAAAAATCATAGTTTCTAGAAGGCATCCATTTGGGGAAAGCTTCTGTGGACATTAACCATGGTATTGGTTCATCTATTTGCCTACGCCTCATTCAGTGATATGCATGTTATCAGCTAGGTTTAATTCAGATATAATCTGAAATGCCTCTTGTATAATGTGTAAAAAAGTTGCAGATCAAACAAATCAAAATCACAACATCTACTTGTTAAATTTTTGCTCAACAAGACAAAAGTTCTGTAGTGAAAAAAGGAAGGCAATTCTAGTAGATAACAATATATGTGTTATACATACAACAAAATATATCTATTATCCAACTAATTCAGTCTTTCCAGATAAGGCCATCCAGATGTCCAGGGAATTTTGGAAGTTGTCATCTTATCTATACAGATAAATCAATACAAGAGTATAAGGCCTGTATTCAATCCAGTAGACTTAACTATAGTCACCTTCCTCATCTCAAGCTAATGAACTTGGGCCTCAGGTGTTAAAGTTCACCCTAAGAAACTGTTTCCTTCAAAAATTAATAATATCATTTTTCTTCTCCTTATTTTTAGGTTTCCAAGTGTAGTACAAAATGCCAACCATTGTCACCTTAATTTTTCTACTTTTAAGCATTGCAATTATTGTTACTATTACTCTTGTTCAGATGAATCGGAAACAGATCCTTTCTCCAGGTCTAAAGGTAGGCTTAAATAATAAGCTAGGACTTTTGCAGCATCTGATGTTTAACTGAGATATTTATTGCTGAGCCGATAACATAATATTGAAAGCAAATTGCCTGAAAAGGCTCGGCCCAGGGAGAAACTACAGCTAGTTGCCACACTTCTTAGCTGAGAACATGAGAGCAGTGGTGGGATTCAAATATGTGAACAACCGGTTCTCTGTGTGGATGCCGCTTCCAGAAGTCCATTCTGAGCTTGGGCAACAAAAATTAGCTACCGGTTCTGCCGAAATGGTGCGAACCGGCTGAATCCCACCACTGCATGAGAGGCACTATGCAGATTTAAGCCTAGATATTGTCTTTTTTCTAGATGTTCTCCAGATATGCTGTTCTTCAACAACCATAATCCTTAGCTAAAGGACAAGAATAGGAAACCTGAGGGTATCTTGCTTAGATAAGAAATAAAATGCAGTGCATCGTAGATTTTAGCTGACCAATTAAAAGGAAGCTGCCAAAAATATAAAAAAGTTTTAACATAAAATGCCAATCAAGAAGAGTTAACATTGTACTTTGGTAATTAAATTAATAATTATATAATATGTGAAGTTAGTATTGAGAATATTTCTGGACAATTACTATTAAAAATCTGAAGCTATCTATAGGGAGACTATACAGCTCCTTGTGAAAGGATGCATATTAATTATACGAATTTTCCCTAAGACAAGATTTGGATGGGTGTAGCTACGAGCTTTTCGTACCAGTTACAACTTGTTGCTGGCACTATTCTTCTAACTATCCATTCCAAGGGAAAAGAAAAAGGGGGAAATTACTAATGGAGTAAGTTCAAAATTTTAGATGCATTACAAGTGCAGCTCTGTTGAAGAAATTAACGGAACTCTAAGAGGCAGTAACCATTTTCAGACTCACACTGTAACCTGAAAAACATTGCAATGTTTTAATGAATTTCAGAAACTGGGTGGCTGGCTGTTATCCAAAACATGTCTTCTGAATCATTGTAAACAATAGTTAAGGAAAAACATTTCTAGTTCTAAACAAGACAGTAGAGCAGGGCAGTAGATAAATTATGTTCCCTGTGATATTTTGGACTTGTGCCATTTGCTTCTTTTAAAAACTAATCTTCTCTAACTATACAGTACTCTGCAACTTTGTATTTAATGCTACAATTCCAAGCAAATTTATTTATTTCCAAATAAATAACTAAGGAAGTCTTCTGGAGCTCATCAAGATTTGTTCCCTGATCCAGTCTGTTTATGATTGCTGCCTAAAATACTTTATTTTTTATAAAACAAGACCATGTTGTTAAATATAATGGTCTGGGGGCCTATGAATTCAATGGACAGTATTACTACCTCAGAATATTACTGTAATAATAATAGTTTTTATTCACTTGGTCACACATGGATCACCTTTTATTGTTTCTGTGTGAGTCACAAGTATCTGAGCATGAGAATTCCACTGTATATATTTACCCTGGATCACAAAATAGAGATTTAGAGAACATTGTAAACTCTTAAAGTCAGATGTATACTGCAGCCTTGGTGAAAGAAACATGAAACTCATTTTGTGAATGCAAAGAGGCATTGCATTTGTTTCTCTTGAATAGCTATGCCTGTTGCTGCATAGCAAGCTGGTTTTTGACATGGAGGAAGATTTGTACATTAATATATATGATAGTTTGAATTATTTGAATTATTTGGTTTGAATTATTTGCTGCCTAAAGGCAAAGCCAGGCTGACCCAAACATTCCATGTTCAGATATTAACCTGACAGTGGCATTACAATGACTACCCTCAGAACTTGCTCAGTGCTCATTTGAACAAAGGTTAAAGTGCAGCAGTTATGACATTAGTATCATGTGGGATGTGAACAGGGTCACCCATACCTTCATATGCTTTGCTGATGATTTGTATGGCCCGGGCTGCCTGCCTCTCGATCTCTCACAATTGCCAAAGACACTGCCTCTAACATGGTGCCCTTAAGATGCACTGGATTTAAATATAGATGGGTGCCATGGTGGCTGCAGATTTGGGGGAACTGAAGTCCAACGCATCCAGAAGGCGCCTTATTGGGAAAGGCTCTGGTGGGAAAAGGTAGTGTAGTAAAACTCTTAATGGACCAAAACTGCATCCAAGAAATATTACTGGTATTAAATGATGAAAATGACGAGGGGTCTTGGAGGATTCAGGGGATAAGGTAATGTGATCTGAAAGAAAAAGCAAGTTCCTGCTGTCATAGAGCTTCTCTCTACCTGGCATTAGGACCATACAAATACCATCAAAGTTAAATAATATAAATATAAATAATAATATTGAGCTTGTATAAAGAACTCAGGGGCTACTTTTCTTGGATTATAATCTGTCTTTTCTCTCTGCCCTTCTCAGTATGGAATAGTGCTTGATGCTGGTTCATCTCGGACAACAGTCTATGTTTATGAATGGCCAGCAGAAAAAGAAAATAATACCGGAGTAGTAAGTCAAACCTTCAAGTGTAATGTGAAAGGTGAGGAAGAAATAATTGCATGGAAATAATTGCATGGAATAAAAAAATCACAAGGATTAAACTGTCTTGATGGAAGAGAGTGAGGACAATCAGTTTATATGTTTGAGTCATACTGAGCATCTATTTAGTGCATGATAAAATGATTTTGGATCCTAAGTCAAAGATTTCTTCTCTGCTTAGAATTGCTACAACAAAAGGACAGATTTTCAAGTTTGGAATCTAACCACAAAATCACACATAAATGGTTATATTCACCAGTATGGAGCTATTACACTAATAGAGGAAATATGTATGCTTTTATCTTACATGAATTCTATAGATATTTATCATTCTTCTTATCTTTTCTATATCTGAAAGTGAGAGGAGTCAGTCTGATAAAGAGATTATCTACATAGTCATTGAGTTTCATAGGTAGAATATGTAGCCCTGACCTGATCAGGGCTCATCTGTTTTCATCACTAACCTTTCATGTTTTGGACAAAGTAATTTCCAGTCTAACCAAACTTTAAATGTTATTTGATCTGTTGCTTTTGAATTCTTCATGCAAGGGTGTTTTTTTTTTTGAGATGGCATGTACTCTCTAATCAGACAGATTTGTGTGTTAAGTGAGTTCCTCACTGGTAGATACAAACTCACAAACCTCTCTGCTCATGCAAACAATTAGGAATTGAAATAACCATGGCAGCATTAGATGTTCTTTCCAGACTAATAGTACTATAAAAACTATAGATACCGTATATAGGATCTGCAGCCTCCTAATGGAATCCTACCTGAAAATTATTAGTTTTTTTTTAAAGCACTGCTTTTATGACTAATGAAATAGTAGACAAGTCACAGTCTACAGCACTCTCAAGCAGATTCTCAGTCTGATAATCTCACAAGTCAGGATTCTCTTAAAGCACAGGGCCACATATTTAAATATTCCTCATTTTAGAATGGATCATCAGTCTGTCTAGGTCCTATTTTCCTCCACCATACGTATCTTTGGATATGCTCAAAGTAAAGAGTAAAGTGAGGCATATAAAGTATCAATCAATTTTAGCAGATTAAAGGTATTCTTATTATAATCTGTTCAAACATAGCGCTTGATCTCCTAGGATAAATTCCAAAAAAAGAGATTTTGCATATTTTAACCTGGACAGTTTCGAATAAAGGAAAGGGTATTGTGGAGAAATATTTTCAATGTGCCTTCTTTACAAATTTCAAAGATAGTTTAGGAGAGTTTTCTCTAAAAGTACAATTTTCTTACCAGAGCAAACATTAATAGTTATATAAGCAAATAAGCTTATATATGCAGTACCTAGTAATTTGGTTTTCTGGACCATCAGATGAACACTAAGGTATTCATATGGTTTTCAGCAGAAATTTTTGACTGATGTCCCAATGAGGCTTCATTATTGCAGTAATTTAAAAGTGGTGATTGGCTTATAATATTTGTAATCTATATAAGATGTAAACTCAGAGGGTTGTTTGGTGAGAAGTGCCAGGAATGGTGCTATCTGTATTTTGATTGGTCTGCCTCAAAATTTGCTGATCAGGTGATTGCTGGGTATTATATCTTACCCAGCTTTATATATCTGTTGATGGCTGATTTATTTATTTGAATGGCTCTTCTCCTGTTTGTGTGATCTATTATCTCCATATACTCCCAGCCAAATATGTAACCTGCTTTATAATGTTTTAAGAATGTTCAGAGCAATTATCTCACAGCACATAAGATCACTGCATAGGGACACACATAAACAAAATTAAAACATGTTGCCTTCACCAAGCCCCCCCATCAGAATTTAATTACCTCCAAAATATATTCATCTCCTCTAAACACTAGGTTTCATAGTGATCCAGAAACCAAGCAATCAAACAAACATTTACAAGAATTCTGTGCAAACCACAAGATTACATACTTGGCAGAGATAGAATTAATGTTATATACAAATTAACAGGACTGGAACCAGCACTACATAAGAAAACAGGATACTGTTATTTAAAACTATTTTAGATTTTTTAAAATTCAGCTTCATAATGCTTATCTATGAAGATTCTCAATCTTCTAAGTCATGATTGTCTTAAAGATGCTTTTTCCAAAAAGCAACTGGATTTTCTTGGTTTCTTTTTTTAAACATTTTGCTTCTCATCTAAGAAGCTTTTACAGTTCTAACTGAATTTACAATGCTTGTAAATACAATTTACAATGCTCCTCTTCTGTTTTTCTGTTTGTTTTCTCGATTCCTGATTTCTTTTATACTGTGTTTTTAAATAATACTAAAATACATTTTAAAAGATTAAAAGTTCTAATGCACCATTATTGGCAACTAAAAATAAATACAAGATACACAGATATTTAGGCTGCAAAAATCTGGATTACCACTAGTGGAAGTAGAGAAACAGATATATTGTGCTGATCTTGGCAGAACAAACTAAATATATTTTAATTATTTTTTCTAGGCCCTGGAATATCCAGCTATGGCAGCAACCCTCAAGAAATTGCTATGCCCATCAATGATTGCATGAATAAAGTAAAGGAGAAAATTCCTTTGCATTTGCATAAAAGCATACCTGTCTACTTGGGAGCCACAGCTGGCATGAGACTTCTGAGGTATAATAGGAAAATTAGAGCACATTCTGATATGGTTCTTTTTATGCTACACATAATTTTTTATTCATTTGTTTCAAAAGTACAAACTGCAGCAGAGCATAATAACAATTCACAAGAACATTTTCTCCTTATTTAACCCCCGTTATTCTATGAGATTAATAGATAAATTAGCTGACTCTATACACCGAAAGGAGATTGTGATCTTTCCTAGATAGATTGTTGGGAAATAAAATCTTTGCAGATATTAAACAGATTTTTAATGACTTTAAAAAAGTCAATCCTAGGTCTGAATGTTCCTGGGTATTTCACAATAGGATTAGCTTTTCTAAATAAATTTCAGCAAACAGAGACCTAGATATTCTCATTTGTACTGCTTTATTGTTATTTTGCATATGCCTGTTTTATTTCTTTAAAATCATGTACGTATAGATTTTTGTGGGTTATGCAATGCAAATAATAATTTTTTGAATGTCCATGATTGAAATAAAATGTTTTTGTCAGTTTTTTTAAAGAAAATAGTGAAGGATTGAAATTCTGGCTTGCTAAATGATTTATAAATAGGCACACATATTTATGGTCAATATCTATTATGATACCCAACTATAATAAATATATATATAATGAGGATCCACAGCATTTTCTCCTGTGGATGCATGACAACTATTCAATCTTGCTAATGCATAAGCATTTCCATACAGTATGTATTACACCTGTTATTTAGAAAGCAGGACATGCATTTTTGCAATAGATTTACAAAGCAATAGCATAGATGTCTACTCATACATAATTAATATTCCATTTAGTGAAACTTCTAAACTTCTTGATAATTACATATACCTGCGGGAAAGCCTCATTGATCTTTCTAAGGAAATATGGATAAACATGCAGCTTTAATGTAGCTGCATGTATCTTGGGGCTTGTTCACACATGTATATTCATAACTCACCCACTGTAATGATGTTTGAATGATCCAGCACAAATTAATTATTAAGATACAACATGGTTATCATTTCAAACACAATCTTTTCCAAAGAGTTTATGCATTTAATTGAAACATTAAAATAATCAGATGATATGTTTTGTATGCATGTCTGAATCAACATTTGATGGTTTCTTATTAAAGCCTGCTCTTCCAAATTAAAAAAAAAATCATCAACTTTCTGTAGTTAGTCGATTTAGTAAATTATGAAGGTAAGCATCTCCTTTCAGACACTCAGCATTTTGTCTTCTGTGAATTACTTAGGTTGCAAAATGAATCAGCAGCCAGTGAAGTCCTTCAGAGCATTCAGACCTATTTCACGTCACAGCCCTTTGAATTTAGGGGTGCTCAAATCATAACTGGGCAAGAGGAAGGGGTATATGGATGGATTACAGCCAACTATTTAAAAGGCAATTTCTTGGAGGTGTGTGGAATATTATGCATGTTTACTACATTCTATTATTTCTCACATATCTAAATGGATATATGCTGTGATTAACATAGCCTTCCCACACTTTATGTAAGGCAAAAATTAAGGCATTTGCCTAAGTATAATCATATAATGTATACAGGTAGTCCTTGACTTATAACCACAATTGAATCCAACATTTCTGTTGTTAAGAGAGGCAGTTGTTAAGTGAGTTTTGCCCAATTTTACAACCTTTTGTGTCACAGTTGTTAAGTGAATCACTGAAGTAGTTAGTAACACAGTTATTAAGTGAATCTGGCTTCCTCATTGATTCTTCTTGTCAGAAAGTTGCAAAAGGTGATCACATGACCGTGGGACAATGCAACTGTCATAAATATGAACCAGTTGCCAAGCATCTGAATTTTGATCACATGACCATAGAGATGCTGCAAAAGTCATGTTTGAGAAAAACTGTCACAATTTACTTTTTTGTGGTGCCATTGTAACTTCCAGCTGTCACTAAACAGTTGTAAATTTAAATGTGACAGTAATGTTAGGAAAAGCTTGCCAGCAAAAGTTCCCATTTTTAATTTGTTTTGTTTAGTATTGATTTTCTATATGCCAAATATAAACAGCTTATGCATTTAAAGTATTTGTTGTTATTTATGAATACATATTCATAAAAATTCTGGGCAAATAATAAGAAAGGAAACTCCTTTTCAAAATTTCATGGATCGTTTAATCTATAAATTAATTCAAGGAGAAACCAATACATTTTTTTTGAAGATTCTGGACATATTTGCAGAACCTGCTCCGCAGTCTGTGGTGTCACTATTGTGTCCCGTGTTTATCTGCTCTAAAGGCAAGGCTAGTTCATGAGTACTGCACAGAGTTGATTGATGGAGTATGCAGTATATTTATAGTCACTGTTTAATGCTAAAAGATCAAATTGAGAAGGGAAGATAAAGTGAAATAGTAAGGCAGCCACTGTTTTTATGGCTAGCACTTTTTTCCTTTCATTATCTGCTTAACTGATAAATTTTTTACAGTGGATTTTTTCTTCATACTGAGGATAATATGTATAAATTTCACAGTGAATTGTATACTTCGTTCAGTTGTATAGGCTGAGTGCAGTTATTGCTTGTATTATATTATACAGTATTCATCTCCCTCCCTCCATTGGGCATATTTATTTTTGAAAAATTAGTTTTGTTTCAGCTTTATTTCAAAATTCCATGTAAAAGTTATGAATCATCATTCAGAGCTACATTTTTATTCATGCTGTAAATAATAACTCTTTGATTCAAATAAATTTATAAATAAAAAAATTGAATTCCACCTTTCTAATAATATTGATGTATGAAAAAATTCAAAACTTGTAAAAAATGTGAAATTATCCAGGAGATTGTTAGTATATTTGTCAGGTCAGTTCTTTAAATGAATAAGAAACATATTAAAAGCGTTCTTTCAATCTTCATTGTTAGCACTTCAATACGTTTGAATAATTCTGGCATACTACTTAGTTATTGTCATTATAACTGAAGCTTTTTATAGCAAGAATAAATAATTCATATCGGAATTAAGAAATTCAAAGGTCTTTCTAATATATATATAATTATAACTAAGCCATTCCTAACTGAACTATCAAACACTAATAAAAATAATTTTAAAAACTCTGCAAGGCTGAGTGAATGCAACTCTTTGAAAATTAGTTATGATTCATCAATGTCCATAATTAGTGAAGGGACCACCGCTCTTGCCCATTCCACAAGATCTAGCAAAGAGGCATGTTATGGGTGCCTTTGACAAGGGCACTAGATTCTATACATCAGCTTATTTGAGCAGTGTGATTTTACAAACAAAAGGGAAATGTACTACTAATCCAGTTTTGATAGAATATGACTGCATAATAAAGTTGTGAAAAGACAAAACTTTTAGAGTAAATATTTTTATCTTATTTCAGCTTATCCAGTATGAACTTCATCCAACTTCAACTTCTAGGAATCTCAGCAATGAGAAATTGGAAAGGCATCAGAGTTGAGAAAAATCATTCATTGAAGCTGGTTATACAGACACTGGCCAACCAAAGAGTTGTATCTCTGTTTAGATGTTTTGGCAACCCTTTGGCCTTTCCACCAGTGATGGTGGATTCAAATATGTGAACAATTGGTTCTCTGTGTGGATGCCGCTTCCAGAAGTCAGTTCTGGGCCTAGGCAACAAAATATTAGCTACCGGTTCTGCCAAAGTGGTGCGAACTGGCGGAATCCCACCACTGCTTTACACTCAGCCTGGTCATTCCTTTCTTGATGGCATCTCTCAGTAGGCTAGAACATTTTTCTATAATTAGCTAGTTTTTTGTTTCTTTGAAACTAGGAAAAGTAGGTTCCTCAATTGTAGTTTTTAAAGTAAGTTCTATCTAAAAGAATCCTACAGAATGTTAGAGATTTTTCCATGTTGATTTGAGCATTATTTTCTAATATCTTCTATGTTAAGAAAGAGAAGAGCAGAATCCCATATCAGATGATATTTCAACTTGGTCTTTTTTATATCTAGAAAAACCTTTGGAGTGCCTGGGTCCATCCCCGTGGAGTTGAGACTATAGGTGCGCTGGATCTAGGAGGGGCTTCCACTCAGATATCATTCATTCCTGAGGAAAGCATACAAATTTTCAACAGTACACTACAGGTGCAGCTGTTTGGTTACCAATACAAGGTGTATACCTACAGTTTCCAATGTTATGGGAGAGATGAAGCGGAGAAAAAACTGCTAGCTTCAATTCTGCAGGTATGACTGGGATCAAGTTCATTAGGACTTAGATGTGATCGAATGTACACCTGGAAGAGCAGTGAGAAGAGTTTTGGCAACACAGCTTTCCTGTGGCCTGGATGAAGAGACTGCACAGTCATGAACTGGATAGTGTGAGGGAAAGATTCAGGGTAGCCACACTTTAAAATTTTCAAGAATATAGTTAGTAGCTTAGAAGGTTAGAGCTTTAGTTTGGCAAGATTTTGTTTATAAGGTGTAAGCAAATAAAAATTGGGCTTGATTGGATTTTGCTGTTGTTGTCTCTGGGCTTGGGCATACTATCAGCTCTGGATTCCCAAAATGCTATCCAATGTAAATGCTATCAAATGCTATCAAATATAACTTCTGATACCACTAGGCTTCCTTATTCCCAAGAATACTCTGGCCATAAAAAAATAAATAAATGAATCTATATAAATAAAAATGTAAATGTTTGTTTGTTCAAAATCTTAAATCTCTGAAAGTTCTTCACTGATTGCTTTGAAATTTTGACACAACGTTCCATTCGAATATGCGTGTGTTTTTATATACCTATATTATATAGATGTCACACCTGTGACAGATAAAAACATGCTTTTTTGAAAAACAGCGCCATCTGTTGGACGTAAAAGCAACACACGCTTTTAGCAGACTGAGCCACAGCAATGCGTGGCTGGGTACAGCTAGTAAATAAATAAAAGAGAGAGAGAGACAGAGAAAGAGAAAATTCTGAAGAAATTAAAATGGAGCTGAAGTAAGACTGCATCACATGCTTTGTTTATAAATGTAATGAATCCTTCTTGGCTTTGTCTTTTTTATTTTATATGTGTTTTGATAAACTATTAGGATTCAGACAATAAATCCGGGATAAAAAATCCATGCTATCCTCAGAATTATAGAACTGTTCTGACAATGAAACATTTATATGGAAGCCTTTGCACAGCATTTCTAAGACCAGAGAGCTACACCCCAAGCCAGCCTGTACATGTCATAGGAACTGGGGATCCAGTCCTTTGCAGGGAGGCAGTGTCAACGTTATTTGATTTCAAATCTTGTAGAGACAGAGAAGATTGCTCATTCAATGGAATCTACCAGCCAAAAGTTAAAGGGAATTTCGTGGTAAGTCCTGATTATTGGCTGTTTACTGCATTGTTACTTTATTTGGTTGACCATGAATATTATAGATACTGTTTCTAATTTTATTGTATTGTAGTTTTTATATTTAATATTTGCTAGTGGATGAAAAGGCTGAATATACCTTTTTGCTCTGATAAAATAAACCTTCAAGTAAAATGTTCTTTCAGTCACTAATCTGGCTTTATTTATAGGCCTTTTCTGGATTCTATTACACAGTCAATGCTCTGAATTTAACTGGACAATTTTCACTAGCTGAGTTTAATTCAAGCATGTGGACTTTCTGCTCACAAGATTGGAACCAGGTTTGTATCAATCTCTAGCTTTTGAAAAAAGTACTAGCAAAAGACATTGCATATTCCTATGCAGAGTCAGCTTTCTTAGTCCAAATGCTTAAAGAAAAAGCTACTCTAGGACATATATTGGTAATAAAGCTTTATGACACTAGGCACCAATCAAGTGTCATACTGCTGGGAGTGATCCAGGCTAAGTTGAACAAATGTTTAAGACTGCAATACTAACTCTACTGGTTTTGAAAAGAACCTCATTGAGTATAGTGAAATTTATTGGAGTAGACCGAAGGATTCCCACATTAAAATCAACGAAGGCATACATGTGCTTACTGTTCTTAAATTGTGCTTTTTGATTTACATTATTTGAAAAACTGAATATAATATAATACAGGTAGCCCTCAACCTATAGCCAGAATTGAGCAAATTTCTGTTGCTAAGCGAGACAGTTAAGTGAATTTTGTCCCATATTATGACCTTTCTTGTCACGTTGTCCCATATTATGACCTTTCTTGTCAGTTGTTAAGTGAATCGTTGAAGTTGTTTAGTTGATAACACAGTTGTAAAGTGAATCTGACTTTCCCATTGACTTTTGCTTGTCAAAAGGTCGCAAAAGGTAATGACATGATCTAGGAAAATCGAGACCATCATAAATATGAACTAGTTGCCAAGTATCCAAATTTTGATCACGTGATCACATGGAGATTCTGCAACAGTCCTATGTGAAAAACGGTCATAAGTCATTTTTAAAGTGCTGTTGTAACTTCAAATGATCGCTAAATGAATAGTTGTAAGCTGAGGACTCCCTATATTCCATTCTAATAAAATTACTAAAATAGTTTGGGTTATATCAGACCTTTTTTCTCTCTGGAAAAATATATATTGAAAATTAACTGAAACAGTTACTTCCCAACATATGATATTATTTGCCTATTGTATTAGTACTTCTTGAGATACTTGAATTTGCAATTAATTACAGCAAAGATTTCTCTATGATATTTCAGGAAGTCATTTTCTTAGGTACAGTATTTTAATCATTATAATCACAACAGAAAAGTAGGAAATAGAATTTTTTAAAAATAAACCTTACTTTGTTATTAATAGTCAGTTTTGTTTTTCAGTTGCCATTTATGCTCTCTAAATTTGAGGAAACATATGCAAGATCTTACTGCTTTTCAGCAAACTATATCTACCACTTACTTATACATGGGTATAAGTTCAATGCTGACAACTGGCCTCAGATTCATTTTCAAAAAGAAGTAAGTTAACTATGATTTAAGATTATTTAATTCAGAAAAACACAGGTCTTGAAGAATTAAAAGATCTGCTAGGAATTCTGAGTTAGAGCCATTTTATAGCAGTTCTCCATACATGTTCTTAAAGCTGCCTCAGTAAAGAAATTGGTTTATTATGGTCCAATTATAAAACGTGACGAAGTGACAGATTTGGGGGCTTTTAATTCATATTATTTGACAGAATGTAAATAACTAGTCTGGATTTATTATTTATATTTAATGTATTAAATATTTTCAAATGCTCCTGGCTATAGAAAGAAGCATTCATTTTAGATCCTCTATGTTTTTATCTTGCTTTATGCATTAAGGAAAAGGCAATACAGCAGTTCTAAGACCATTCTGATTTTACTTTTACATGACAACCATTACATAGCATTTAATCACACATTGGGCTGCTAAGCTATAATGTGACTTGCTTGGCTTTGGTTTAATTTGTTGAGTAAATCCAATAAACTTGGTAATTCAATAAACTCTGGTTAAATAAGGAATAGTTTAATACAATGGATGAACCAAACTAATAAGATTAGAATAGGGTTGCCAGGTGTCCACTATTTGAGTGGACAGTCCACTTTTTTCACATTATGTTCACTATTTATTTTCACAAAATAGTGGACTTTTTTTTATTCAAAAGCTTTATGATGAAATGGTACGTAATCTAAAGCTGTACAGTCTACTTTTTTTACTACTTAACCCCCCCCACCGCTTGTCCGCTATTTTTTGGAAGCAGACCTGGCAACCCTAGATTAGAAACCAGATTTGCAACATGGGGGTCTTTCTTGTCATAGATTCAGCTTTGGGAAAAGTTAAATATTTGCCATGAAACTGTCTGTATAAATGTTCCTGTTCAATATTGTAGGAGTTATTTCAGTGGTGGGATTCAGCCAGTTCACACCAGTTCGGTAGAACTGGTAACTAATTTTTTTGTTGCCCAGGTCCAGAATGGACTTCCGGAAATGGCATCCACACAGAGAACCGGTTGTTCACATATTTGAATCCCACCACTGAGTTATTTGTTTTTAAAATGCATGTGTTGTCCTTCAAACTGGGTCAAAATGTTTTAATTATCTTTGAAAGAATAAAATCAAATCCCACGAAATAAGAATACTGTAAATAAAAAGATCCTCTCAAATAATTTACCATTAGTATTAAGATATGCAATTTACAAGATTTTTACCCCTGCTCACTGCTATTTCTCTTAGGTGATAAAACTAATACCCAAAATTAGAATTGTACTTAGTTTTGATTAGTTTCCCTCATACGTTTAAAATACATAACGTATATGGAGCACACTATAGTTCTGAGTTCTGATATAAGCCCTTAATCTATAGAAAGGGAAAAGAATACATGAATTCAAGCTTATATAAAATAATTTTTGTATTCAAATATCTGTGATATTATTAAAACAAGCAGCAGAGAGTTATCTTGCTGCCAAAAAGACTCCCCTCATGTCATCCAACTGGCAAAAATAGGTCATGGCACCACTTGTGCAAGATGGGTGAAAATATTTTAATGGCCCACAACTGCTTCAGCAGATTTTCAGCTTTGTCTGGGCTTGGAAGCTAAGGGTTGAGCCTGATTTATACTTCAATGAGAAATTACAAAGAAATTTCAGAGCTGTACAGTATTTTTAGCAACTAAAAAAACCCAAAAGAAGATAAGTATATCATTTCAGATAACCTTTATTGTCATTTTTTTTACTGTGGGCACAATGGCACACATAAAAAATGAAATTTAGTTGCCGGTTCTCAAAGTGACATTTCAGTGTTATTTTAACATTAAAAAGAAAAATTACAAGCTCATGTCCATTTAGTTATCAGGAGTTGAATTCAATGAAGAAATGTCTTTATGTTTATATAGAGCACGGGTCGGCAACCTGCGGCTCCAGAGCCATCCCCTGCGGCTCCGGAGCCTCCTCCGCCATTTGCAGAGACAAGGAGAGAGAGAGAGGCACTTGCGCTTTCCCCCTCTCTCTCTTTCTCTCTTTCATGCGGACTTGTCCCCTTGGAGAAGGGCAGCCAGGAAGTCCCTTTTCTGGGCTGGCCCTGTCTGAGGCGCACGTGGCTGGGAAGCCGCACGGGGAAGCTCCGGGCCAGCCCTCCCGCAAGCTGCAGCCCCAAGGGGAAGCAGCCCCTGCGATGCCCAGCTGGCGCGACCATTGGCCAAGCAGCACCAGAGATGGAGGGTCAGTGGTGGGGAGGAGGGAGGGGGCTGAGTCTGTGGAGCGTTGCCACGAAGCAGCCGTGGGGCAGGTGACGCGCCCCTCCTGGCTTATCTGTACCAGGCGGCAGTCCCGGCTGGGGCATCACTTCCTGGGCCTTCCCCGGGCCGCTCCCTGGGTAGCCGAGCCGGCCACGCGTCTCCTTGGGCTGGGCCGGGGTAGGTGGCAGTCCCGGCTGGGGTGTTGGCTGGCGGGGGCATCGCTCCCTGGGCCGTCCCTGGGCAGCCAAGCCGGCCATGCGTCTCCCCGGGCTGGGCCAGGCGGCCATCCCGTTGGGGACGGCGGCCGGTGGGGGCATCGCTGCCTGGGCATCTCTGGGCCGCTCCCTGGCAGCCGAGCTGGCCACGTGTCTCCCCGGGCCAGGCCGTGGTGCCCTGGGTGCCTTGTGATGCCTCCTGCCCCCCCACACTTGGCCTTCTTGGGATCTCTGCCCATTTTCCCATGCCCGGAGCAGAAGAGGAAGCGCTGCTTTTCGGGCATCGGAAGGGGCTTCCCCCTCCCAGCCCCCCCGTCCACCAGGGCTCCTCTGGACCAGGCCATTCACTGTGTGAATCGCAGTGTGCCTCATTTCCCGCCGCCCAGCCTGGCCCGGCTCACCCTCCTGCAGGATTTGGCCCTGGAAAGCCCCGTCTGGCTCAGCGGGGAGCTCGGGGGCCGCCTGACCGCCACGGGGGTGTCCATGTCAGCCGCCTCCTGGCGGGCCCGCTAATTGTGGGCTCCCGTCCGGCTTCCTCCGTGAGTCAGGCACCCAGGACTCCGCAGAGCCGCCCCTAATTGCACCCTGCAAGGACCCGTCCGAGCCCCGGCCTGACCTTCGAAATGCCGCTTGTCTGAATTCTTTCTGAACTGTAAGCTGCCCAGAGTCACTGAAAGGGGCAACCAGAGATATTGAGGGGAGAGGAAAGAGAGAAAGAGAGAGAGGAAAGAAAGAGAGAGAGAGAGAGAGGAAAGAGAAAGAGAGAGGAAAGAGATAGAGGAAAGAGAAAGAGAGAGGAAAGAGAGAAAGAGAGAGAGGAAAGAGAGAAAGAAAGAGAGGAAAGAGAGAGAAAGAGAGAGGAAACAGAGAGAGGAAAGAAAGAGAGAGAGGAAAGAGAGAGAGGAAAGAGAAAGAGAGAGAGAGAGGAAAGAGAGAAAGAGAGAGGGGAAGAGAAAAGAGAGAGAGGAAAAAGAAAGAGAGGGAGAGGAAAGAGACCGAGAAAGGGGAAAGGAAAGAGAGAGAGGGGGAAAGAAAAGGGAGAAAGAGAGTGAGAGGAAAGTGAAAGAGAGAGAAAGAGAGGGAGAGGAAAGAGAGAGAGAAAAGAGAGAGAGGGAGAGGAAAGAGAGAAAAAGAGAGAGGAAAGAGAGAAAGAAAGAGAGGAAAGAGGGAGAGGAAAGAGAAAGAGAGAGAGGAAAGAAAGAGAGAGAAAGGAAAGAGAAAGAAAGAGGAAAGAGAGAGAGGAAAGAGAGAAATAGAGAGGAAAGAGAGAGAGAGGAAAGAGAAATAGAGGAAAGAAAGAGAGAGAGGAAAGAGAGAGATAGGGAGAGAGACCGTTTGACATCTAAAATGAAGATAACACTGCATATATCCTTTTTTACCTTTATTTTATATATATATATATATCAAAAATTTCTTTAAAAATGTGATCCCTAGGTAGTTCCATATTAGAATCAGCGAACAAACACGAGCACTAGGGAATATGATAAAATAATTTAATATTAAAATACTAATAAAAGCCAATTAAAACGCCTAGCTTTCGTCGGCCATCTGCCAACGTCCTCAGGGCTCAAAATGTCAGTCCATGGGAGAGTCGCTTTTATAGTTTGACTAGCGTGTGCGCACGGCTCCTTGACCTTGTTATTGGGCCGGCCATGACTAGGCACGTTCCTGACGCCGGTTCCTTGGTAACAGCTTCCTGCCTCCCGCTATACAGCTAGCATCAGAGAATTTTTCTTTTTTGGAGCTGGATGTCAATGGGGGATTTCCTTTCACACACTCAGATCCATCTTCTGTTTTCCTTTCCATACCACTTTCATACCCTTCCCTTTGGGTCCTTCCTAATGCCGCTCCACACTTCTTAGTCCATAATCGAGTACACGTCGCACCAACTCGTTTTCCAACGTCTCCTCCCCTCCTCCCCGTCCCCTTTTTGGTGGTATAGCCTCCTATTTTCTTATCTCCCCCCTTTTTTGTTCCGATGTAATTATCCTTGCAAATGCAAAGATCGGGGGTTGCGGTCTTTTCCCTTTCCCCTTCCCAGCCAACAATCTGCCTCTCAGTACTCCCCCTATTCCCTTTCCCCGTCTCTCTCCTAATGGTGCAGCTTTTCTTATCCTCCCCGTTGCTCAAGTCCGATGTGACTTGTCATTATAAACGCGGAGATCGGGGGTTGCAGTCGCAATCCTCTCCTTTCCCCCTCGGCTTGTGTCTTCCGTCTGCCTACCACCACGTAGGCTATTCAGCTTGCTCCGTTCCCCTCCCCAGTGCGTTTGTGCTGGAGTCCGAGGCTCGAGGTCAGGGGTTGCCATCGTAATCCTCCCCTTTCTCCCTCGGCTGATGTCTTCCATCTGCCTACCACCACGCAGGTTGTTCAGCTTGTTCCGTTCCCCTCCCCAATGCGTTCGAGCTGGAGTCCGGAGTCTATGCGGCGGGTAGATCATCGCCTCCTGCCGAGTTGGGAGATTAGTAGCTCCCTCCTCCTCCTGATGGTGTGGGGGGTCTTGGGTTTCAGCTGAAGCGGTCCGTTGCCTTTGATTGACCCATATATATAAAGTGTTATCTTCATTTTAGATATCAAAAAGGTTTTGCAGCTCCCAGTGTTTTGTTTTCGGTGGGGAACGGGTCCAAGTGGCTCTTTGAGTGTTTTGGGTTGCCTACCCCTGATATAGAGCATACATTTGGCTTGCCTGAGTTGTATTGAATGAAGAGGAATTGTATTGGGCCACATATAAAACATAATATATAGTTAATGTATATAAATCACATAACAATGTTAAAAGTTTTTGACCTTGTGGGGCTGCATTACTAATGGGTTGGACATGCCGGATATAGAGCATTTGCTTTTTGTAATAAAAACGGCCTTACATTTTAATGGCAGTAATATGGTGTTTCTTTTTTGTGTTTTAGGTTGATAACAGCAGCATTGCCTGGTCACTGGGCTATATGCTTAGCCTCACCAATATGATCCCAGCAGAAAGCAATAGAATTTGGTTACCTATGAATCCTTCTCTGTTTGCTGGACTGCTCCTCTTCTTCACAGCAGTGGCATTACTGTGTCTGATTTTCCTGGTGTATTCATATGTTCGATCTCGCATGCAAAAGAACACTTGTCAAGTTGAACATGTGTTTGCCATAGAATAAATCACGTTCAAAAAAGAGACCAGAACTTTCACTAATTATGTAAAAAGCACGGGGGAAAAAACCCCAGTAGCTATAAGAAAGTATCACTTTATGAGTATCTCAATCTATTTTAGTTCTCTAGAATTTTGATGCAGTTCAGGATTTAATTGTTTATATGCAGATATAAAAACAAAAAATCAAGCAGTCCTAATATGCAAGGGGCAAAGGACTGTCAGAAGAAGATAGTTTTGATTTACCCAAGAACTAAATAGCCTTTACCCCTTTTGATGGAGGGGGGGGGGAAATCACCTAAGGCAAATTAGCCAGGTTTGTTTGTATTTCTGATCAGGATGATTAAAGAATAATTTGCAAAATAACCTTTTAAAACATTAATGAAGTTGAAATTGGTAATTATAACAATTAGTAACAAGATTAGTAATATGAAATGAAAAAACTTAATTTCATATATGCAAAAGGAATATGACCAGAATCAAAGCAGAAGGTTATTGGGCAAATATGTTCTCAATACCTTACTGGAAAATAATTCCTACATGCTTAGGCTTATTGGACAGGAAAGATCCACAACCAGGAAAGGGCTTAAGGAACCATATAGAGCTAGAGTGTCTCTAAAATATCGTTGCCCACCAATTGATGTACCAACGATGGAATTCATGCATTATGTTTGCATGAAGTCAATAAACTCTGTAACACATATCTCCTCTCTACTGCAAGACATATGATTTTCAGTGCCCTCAACCCATCAGCTTGATGGCAAGTCTGAAATACTCAGGTATCCTTCCCATATCTATGTTGCTCATAAAACAGTGCTTTAGATTTCAATATACCTCATTGTTTTTTAAAGTAACTGCCCCCCCCCAATCCCTGATTTGTTGAGACTACAGCTCTCAAGACAGCACAGTCAATGTATCTAGAAGATGGAAAGTTGTAAAAAGAAAAAGAAAACTTAAAAATGGCCCTTTGGGGAGAAGTATTCAAGACTCAGATGAAGAAGAGACTCTTGATAAACAGCCAAAATGAAAGGGTGGGAGGAGAAAACTGTTTTAGAAACGGAGGCACTCTATTAGTTCTCTACATAATACATGAGATTGGGAAATAAGAAAAGATTAATGCTATTTGTCTTTTGTATATTTAGAAGAGAATTTCCTAACCATTCAGGCACAGCAGCAGAGGTATCAGACACATCACAAACCATTTATTTCCTGTCTTCCTGGAAAAACAGATAGAAATATCAGAAATATTTGCAAAAACCCTTCATTAATAGAACTGACATTTTGCATGGAGGATGATTTGAATCTGGAGTACATTCCCATGGAAGAGAAAATGGGGAAAATACCCTGGCATTCAGGCAAGCCTAAACCAGTTGAATGATTATTATTCATGATTATCTAGACTTAGAGCCTAGACCTGGCGTGGGAACTATTAATCAATAGGGCTCCCTAATTTGCACATATTTTCCAGACCTGGCACACTTCCTATGATTATTACATCTGTGTTTCAACCACTGTTGTAGAAGCAACCTGGTTTTTCCCGTTTTTAACAGTTTAGATGGCCCAACTTATTAGTTTGTGGCAATTATACTTGTTAGAATAAGGATTCCTTTACTTTTATAAGACATTCATATCTAATCAGGGCAGGTTACAAACGTAACCTGTCAAGAAAGATGTTGAAATCCCGAAAATCTGTTTAAAAAGCAGATTTAAATTTTTTACAGTTTGTATGTTAAAAGCCAACATAGATTGGGCTATCTTTTCTCCTTTTTATGCCTACAGGAACTCTCAAACAAGCCAATAGTAAACTCCATTCTTTGGCAAACCCAGTGGCTGTTCACACAACACAAGATTGATTAAAAGCTCTGTAACTGTACAAATAATATTGTAAACTCGACCAATTTTTATCATGATTATGTTCAGGATACTTTGCAAATGACCAAAATGCATTAAGAACGAGAAGAAGCATACAATTCGAATTCGGACCGTTAATTCAGTCGAGAAGACTTAAAAGTTGCCACGGATTGGCCAGGAATTATTTTACTATCCGCCCACAATCAACATATATACACCCACATGAACATGGTTTAAAAGATGGAGGAGAAGCAGGAGATACATTTTCTCAAATTTCTGCCACAGGATAACGCATGCGCAAGAAATAACCTTTTGAATTCACCCAATTGATTTCATTCATTCCTTGAAGAAAGAGCAAAAAGGCCGGTAATGCGCATGCGTAATAGTATTTGCTGTTGTCAGTCAACGCGGCCCTTCTGTCCAATTATCCAATCTCTGCTATGCAACCTGCACTTCGCCGGGAAGAGAGCGATTGAGTCCCGCCTCTTCCTCTGGTGCACATCCGCAGTTGGGGTATCACGAGGCATCCGGAAGCTGTTCTTTCTCTCTTTGTGAATCGACTCGTGTGGCAGCCATCATGGTAATCGCGGGCGCGTGGCCGAGGCCTTGTCCACGGCGCTTTTCTTAAGACTTGCTGAAGTGGAGGGTGGCTGTGAAGGGTTTCGCGACAGCCTTCATTTCTCCTCGTCTGATTTAAGCCGAGAAAGAGGATGGCGGAAAGGGCCACGGGGAGAAGGGCCTAAGAGTCTTGAGCTGGACGTAAACGGAAGAGTTGGTAGCGGGCGATTAACGAGGGCCGGGGGAGTGGTGGATTTTGTCAGCTTTTTTATCATTTTCTTCTGGTGGAAAGGATAATACTACTCGGCCATAATAAAGTCTTCAACAGAAGTTTCTCAGATTTCTGTCACTTTTGTAGAGCGGCCTGCCTGCAAATACATGAGGTGTCTACCCCATCACATCTAAAAGTGGTTTTGGACTGAGAAGAATATATTGTACTATAATTATATTTATTTCAACTATTCAATTATTTTAAAGTTCAGTATAAGGGAGTAAAGAAGTTGCTTTCTTTGAAGGACTGTTAGGAGAGCTCCATAATTCTATAAACTTGTCTAGTAATGAATCATTTGAATAATTAAAATAAACTTTTATCTGATTAAGGTGTTCAAGCGCTATGTTGAGATTGGCCGAGTTGCTTACATTTCATTTGGACCACATGCAGGAAAACTAGTTGCAGTGGTTGACATCATAGACCAAAACAGGGTAAGTTTCACTGTTTATGCTATATGTTTAATACAGTGATATATTTATCTGTGGTAGATAGTGATAAAGAATTTTACTTAGGACTGGTTATTCCATCCTTTAGTCCATCAATAGAATAAAATACAATATTTAGCCAAGAGTGATTAGATATACAAGGAATTTGTCTAGTGCAGAAACTCAGTGCACATGCAAAACAACAGTAATAATAATCCTAATGATATCAATAAGAGAAGATGGTAGGAAAGATGAGAAGGATAATACAGCTGTACCACATGGATAAATAGACATAAGAATACTGTGGCTTTTCTTACTATGTAGCTTCCTTTTCTATGTACCTGTGTTAGAAAATATGGTTATGTTAAACACTCTAGAGGCTATTAGCATGTATTCCATACTAGAGAGGATTTCTTTGTAGTTAGCATAGAATTGCAGGACTCTTAACTTCTCAACAGACTTGTAATTTTGTGGGCTTAAGGAGAGTGCTAATGATTCAGTTGCCTAGATGAGTATCTGAACAGCTTGCTTTCTGAATACATTATACTCAAAGATATAAACTTGTATAGGTGTTTGTATAACCAGCTTGATTTATCCTGAATTCTTTAAAGTACAGTGATTGTCTGCACTATGGATAAAAGCACATAAACCTTATGTTATAGTAAATTTGCTTTACTAGGTATGATTATTTTTGGCAAGTTTATTTATAAGCTCAGTACTTAAATTCTTCTTTAATTTGCTCAATATATAACATCCTTTTCATGTAGTTTCATTGTGTTCAATAAAAGTACCCTTAAGAACGGGTTCCCAACCGTGGGTGTGAGATGATATTCCATGGGGTGCAAAAACTTGGTTTTTCAAAATTATAATGTATATTCATAATTCATTGCTATTATTTCAAACTTTTGTAAGGGGTGCAAGAATATATTGGAAGCGTTCTAGAGGTGCAGGGTATAAAAAGGTTGGGAACCACTGCTTAAGAAAAATATGCATTGGTTTGTGATATGAAATTATGTTATTGTAATGTATTCACACTAGTATTCTTGAGACTCCTTTAAATCTTTCTCATGGTACGTAAAACATCTCCAGAGATAGAAAATCTGTGGTATCTTATAAATAATGTTACTTGTAAGTGTAAAATGAACTGAAAATAGGGGGGGAAACCACTGATGACCTTTAACTTCTCCATCACAACTCCATTTACTTCTAGGCCCTAGTTGATGGCCCTTGCAGTGGTGTCAGAAGGCAGGCTATGCCCTTCAAGTGCATGCAGTTAACTGATTTTGTTCTGAAGTTTCCTCACAGGTTGGTTATATGGTACTTCAATATTATTGCCTCTAAATTTGAATCAAAAAAGAAACATTTGTCTTATTGCTGGTATTGCAAGAATATTAAGAGTTTATCCTATTTTAGCATTGCTGAAAACTATGAGAATATGGAAAAACAGCTCTTTCTTGTATATTTATTCCCAAGAAAAATCCTTGATGTCAGCATGGGCTATCCTATTATTTTAATGTTCTGCTTAATTTAAAGTAAATTATCATAAAATGGTTGCACAAGATAAAAAAGTATTCCTTTTTTCAGAATTATGCAGCTATTTTACAAGTAGTCCTCAACTTAACAATCTATTTAGTGACCATTCGAAGTTACAATGGCACTAAAAAGTGATATATGATTTTCACATTTACGGCCATTGCAGCATTGCCCTGGACACGTCAAAATTCAGACACTTGGCAGCTAATTCATAGTTGACGGTTGCAGTATCTCAGATTCAGGTGATCTCCTTTTGTAATCTTCAGACAAGCAAAGTCAATGGGGAAGTCACTTAACAACCATGTTACTAATTTAACAAAGACAATCATTCACTTAATAACTATGGCAAAAATGTTGTGAAATGGGGCAATGCTCAACAAATGTCTCAC